AAGTTGCAGTGGTCAGATCAGATCATCTGCAGCACTTACCCAGTGGGCTCAGGTAGAGGTCAGAGCAGCCACTGGTGCCAGAAATGGCCATCAAGGCTGTGTGCTGATCACTCCGCTGTGTGCCTTGGATAGCCCTGCGGGGAATCAAGGTCATCCATAACAGAGGGGGGAACTGAGGCACTTACCAAGCCACTGCTATGGTTCCTGCCCAGGTGACACCCCAATCGCTATGCCCACAGGGCTGTCCCCTGACTCCCCATCCCCCACTCACTCAGTCCTTCCAGCCTCCCAAGCCTCCGACACAGCAGGCTTGTTCCCTCCACTAAGATCGCCGTCCTCTCGTATTGCAAGTCTCAGGTGTGTGCAGGTTCCCACGGAGGTCCTCAGCTCTGTGGGGTCAGGGCTGGGCAGGCTTGAAGGGGCCAGGCTCTGCCCAGAGGTGGGAGGTAGAACGTATCATGGAGGACGGGTCTTTCGAGATGCCTAGGAGCCCTCCACACAGACAAGAGACAGAAAAGTCAAAGAAATGGCACATGCAAAGGCCTGGAAGTCACACCACTTCCTCAACGGGAGCTAAAAGGTACCTGGGTACAAGTGGGACACCGTGGCTTATGCCTAGAATCCCAGGACTTTGGGAGGCCACAGTGGAAGGATCTTTTGAATCCCGGAGTTTGAGACCAGCCTGGGCACTGTCATGGCTCACTGCAACCTCCAACTCAATTTCAAGGGATTTTTCTGTCTCTACAGAAAAAGTTTAAAAATTAGCAGGGTGTGATGGCATGCACCTGTGGTCCCAGCTTCTTGGGAGGCTGAGGTGAGAGAATCCCTTGAAATTGAGTTGGAGGTTGCAGTGAGCCATGACAGTGCCGCTGCACTGCAGCCTGGGTGATGGAGCGAGACCCGGTCTCTAAAAAATAAACTGGGTACAGCTGAAGTTGACATAAAAACTAACCAACATATGTTGGGCCCTGACTTAGTTTGGAGAACCAACCCTGAGACAGTGACCACAGGAAACGTGGGATATCTGGGAGAGACCTTCGGTGAGGGTTAGGGAAAGGAGAGGAAGGCAGGGCATCCTGCAGGGGGCACCAGCGAGCAGAGTCCCCCACGTAGGAGGAGAAAGGCCCTGGCACAACTGGGTGCCAGGCCTTGGCCAAGCAGGTGGCAGCCGCCCCTCATTGAGCCCTGGGGAAAGCCCCTGTGAGATACTGATCCTCTTTGTATATAAGAAAACTAAGGCGGGCGCGGTGGCTCACGCCTGTAATCCCAGCACTTTGGGAGGTGGAGGTGGGCGGATTACTTGAGGTCAGGAGTTCGATACCAGCCTGGACAAACATGGAGAAACCCCGTCTCTACTAAAACTACAAAAAATTAGCTACTCCGGAGGCTGAGGCAGGAGAGTCGCTGGAACCCGGGAAGCGGAGGTTGCAGTGAGCCGAGCCCGCACCATTGCACTCCAGCCTGGGCAATAAGAGTGNGCTGAGGCAGGAGAGTCGCTGGAACCCGGGAAGCGGAGGTTGCAGTGAGCCGAGCCCGCACCATTGCACTCCAGCCTGGGCAACAAGAGTGAAACAATGTCTCAAAAAAAAAAAAAAAAAAAGAAAGACAGAAAAGAAAAACTAAGTCACCTGCCTGTGTCACACAGCCGGGAAGCGCCCGAAGCTACCAGAAAGGCAGCAAAGGTAGTTTGGGGGCCCAGGATCGGGGCTGAAAGTGCCCCAGCCAGAAAATGGGTGGAATAGACCATACAGCTCCCCACAAATGGAGGCCTGGGTTCCAATCCTGTCTCTGTCCCTTCTGACTCCTTAGACAAGGGTCTGAATGGTCTAAGCCTCGGTGTCTCCTGTAAAATGGGACTAAAAGTCGCGCCCAATCCCAGGCTATCTGGAGAATCAGGAAGATGGTACCTGGGAAGGGGACGTCGTGAAGGGGACGTCGTGAAGGGCTTGGCCCCACGACCATCTTAGGGTCTTTGTGGCTGCGCATGAGAGAAGGTCGGGGACCAGCGGTGATCAACACGAGGGAAGAAGCCGACGGGAAAGCCAGCTACGCCTGCGCACACAGGGCCTCGGACTCCAGGCATATGAGTGGGGCTTCATCCCAGGACGCTGGGGAGCCCGGGTGGGTATGTGAGCAAGGCAGGGAGTGGATCAGAGCTTCGTGCGGCAGGCTCTTCTGGGCGCCTGCAGAGGGACTGCCGGTGGACCAGAGTGAGGATGAAACTCAGGGCAGGAGCTGAGAGGATGGTCGTCAGTCCTTGGACACAAAGACAAGGTGATGACATTTGTTCTCTGTTACAGAAAGGCCCTGACTCGCTTCGGCCCCGGCCCCCGCCCCCGCGGAATCCCGGGCCCGCGCGTGCGCACTGGCAGCAGGGAATCCCCGACTCCGCCGCAGTGCGCGGGAGGGGGCGTGAGAGGGGAGTTCCTTGCTCTCCTAGCCCTTCCCGCGTGTGTTGCCAGGACAACCGGGCGGGGCCGCGGGGCCGCCGGGCGCTCACTGCGCCTGCGCAGGGGTGCTAGCTTCACGCGCCTGGGCTTTCCCGTAGCGCGCCTGCCGAAGAGGGGAAGCCGCGCCCAGCACGCATGCGTCGGCCGCACCCGACCCCGCCCCCCCAACCCTGAGGGTCGGGGAATCCTCACCCGCCGCAGTGCGCATGGGGGCGGGGCGGGGAAACCGGCTTAAACCGGAGTGGGGTTTGCCGAGGAGGTGGCGGGGGAGGAAGCGAGAGCGGGGTCTTCCCGAGGTTCCCACTCCGGCCCCCGCCGTCGCCTTAGCAACGGGGCGCGCGGGCCGCAGTGCGCGGGCGGCGGCGGCCTCGGGGAAGCCGGGTGACTGTGCGCCTGCGCGGGGCTCCGCGCCTGCAGCCGGGGTTCCCCTTCGAGCGCCTGGGGGACTGCGGGGGAGGAGAGGATGGGCGCGGGGGAGCGGGTGCTGGGGAGGGAGAGACCGTGGGGGAAGGGACGACACTGGCGAGGCGGGGGAGAGAAGGGGAGGAGGAGTGGGTGCGGAGGAAGGGGCGGTGGGGGAAAACGCAGAGAGTAGGGAAGACAGGGAGGGGTGCAGGGGGAGGCGAGGTGGGGGTGCGTGCCAGGGAGGGGGTGACCAGGCTGAGGGGGATGGGAAGGGGAGCTTAGGGAGTGGAGAAGGGATATGGACAAGGAGAGGGGTACATTGGGGCGGTGGGGGCGATGGGAGGGGGCGCTGGGAACACCGGCACCGGCAGCCTCAGGCCCAGCAGATTGGCCTGCGAGGGTGGAGGATCTTCGGGTCCGAGCTTAAGGTTTCCAGATTTGGAAAAGAAAATTAACAGAAAATACAGGGCGCCCCCTTAAACTTGAGTTGCAGATAAACGAGTAATTTTTTTATTTTAAGTATGTCCCATTCCGTGTCCTCTACTTTACCCAGCAGC